AACAGTTTAATACTGTTTGAAATCACAAGTGTTAATCAGAGTTACATGGACAGCTACAAGGCAGGTATATTTTTGCATATCTTAAACTTAGACTTGTTTTGTTTAGTCTCTCTAGTTTTATAACTGTTGCAAATCACACACACACGCATCCCTCAGTGTTTATTAAAATCAGTTGCTTCTCTGTATTCTCAGTCAGTTTAAGCCAGTTTTTTGTTCAGTGTCTGTATTAGTGTTTAGTAGGAACAGCCCAGTATATCCAAAAGGAAATGGTAATGACATTAGGGTTCTAATACTGTGGTATGAGAGCAGTTGCTTTTAACTAAGAGCTGTGGTAAAACAATGCTGGAGAGGGGCTGCAGTAAATGTTGTTCTCTAGTTCAGACCGGGAGGCTGGACCATGGCCCAGGTCAATGAGACTTCTCAGCTCTAGTGAGACAGATGTCATTTCTATTACATCTGCAACACTGTGAAGCAGAAATGACCTAAACTTAAAGTTCCCCAAATAGAGGGGATCTCCTTACGACAAAGTGATATGAAAACACTGACTTGGCAGCATCCTCTTGCTCCTGGCCAAAAATGATTCATGCCCTGCTATCAACGACACATAGACAAGGAGGAGTGAACAGTAGTTTCTGCAGAAGAAAAAGCAATGAGGAGGAATCAGTCCATTTGCATGCCTGCCCTTTCTTCCTTCACTGAAACTCTACTGGGGAATAGCACCTTCATTTCACGTAAGAGGGCTTGAGACCAAAGAGCGATTTCCCAAACTTACACGTAGACTCACTAGCAGACCCAAGCATTCTGCATCCTAGCCCTCCCTGCATTAAATCACTGTTCTCTGAAACACCATTTGTAAAGTAAAACAAGGCTGAATTATTCCTTCTAACTTGAATACATGTGGATCTGTGACTTTAAAGAGAATGTCCTCCCCACATGCCCGTGTAAATCAACAGTGGTGGCGCACCTAGAATGGATGAATGTACTCATTATGCAGCATAGGAGAGCAGCAGTGACTTGAAGGTGAGAGGGAAAGATGTTCAACGTGAACTTAACATCTTACCATACATAGGGTTCCTTTTTAATGATTTTCATGTTACTCTTGTATTCTATAAAAACACATCATAGGGTTACAATATTTCTATTACATACATATGAGTTCTATCATTTTTCCTTTTTTTTTTCCTTGCTCTCTTCATCTGTCCTCGATAACAGCAGCAGGTCTAGAGTAAAATCCCAGAGTTCATGTAGTGCAGCAGCAGAGATTCTTTTTATTTCCTCTCTGGAGACATTATACCACTCAACACAGGACAAACAGGCCATATCCTATCTGCGAATTGAAATGGGAATGTCAGTTTTGAGGAAACTCATGGGTACCAGGGAAAAAAACATGATATGTCATGGCATATCTGCAACCCTAAACAGCTTGTACTATACTGGAACTGTTCAAACTAGGCCAGAAATCAGTATCTTGAGTCCAGATATGTAAGAGACTCTTTCTGGAAACAGACTGCATCCTTCTGCGTACTTTACTTGGCTTTATTCCCATCTGGTTACTGTGTTGCATGTATTTTATATTCGCACTTAGGGAGGGAGAGGGGGAAGGGGGAAATGAACAAGTAATTAACCTAATAGGATTCAGTACTAAAATCCCTGGGACATCAGAGTCAGTAAGCTTTTCGCGTAGTTTACACAGAAATTTTTCTACAGAACCTTTACCTGTTTTGTTTCACTTTCCAAACTGCATGAGATAACTTGCTATTTTTAAGAGGCAGGTCATGTTATAGCCAAAGAGAAGCTAAGATTTTGTCTTCCTACACCATATGTAATAAGACTCAATGGCAGAAGCACTAGTAAAAACGAATCCAAATTCTTTGTAGAACTTTATCTTCAAGTAACCCCTTCACTTACGGGAAGGGCTTATAAACTCTCCGATTTTTAAATCTCGTATAACCTCCGCTTTGGTGCACAATATATCGCTGAGAAGGAAGTAACAAAAAACCTCACCTGCTACCACGCTATCCAAACTAGAGATCTGCATCACCTATTGTCTCCAAACCCAGGCAGTGCTAAAAGCAGTGATTCCCAGCGTTTTGTCATCCTCTGATGTTTTGCATACCCCTCCCTGCTCTTCCTGGGACTCTGCCTATTTCCAATTACTCCTACTCATGCTTTTGGTAAACTATATTAAAGGTAAAATATTCAACATTTATTATTATGTGTGAATTAAATTAACTTTTTATCTTACAGTAAACACATATGTACAATATAATCTGAAGACAGCAAGTCATTATTCTCAGGCTTTACAGATACATCTTCATCTGAAAGATTATGAATGTGTTCAGTGCTACAGTATTCAGTATTTGAGTCAAAGCTGTAGAACTTAAATAACAAAGCACGTGGGGAAACCTCTGATCTTTACATCAAAGTCTCCTAAACAGAAAAGGCCCTCTTTGCAGCAATGAATGTCAGTGAAGATCACATAGCCTTCACCTTTACGCATACAAATAAGACTATTGACATGCTGGAGAAAACAGTGTTATTTACATCTGAAAGAAAATGTAAAAAGTTTTAAGAAAATGTATTCTAAATAGATCTGGTATCTAATGACCCCAGAGGGAGTATTTTCTCATCTCAGAAATTATAGTTCTGTAAGAAACGTCTGCCTGCATGGATCCAATCCAGAACGCATGGGATGCAAACTCAGTGTTTCTTAGGTTCAAGTGCTTTGAGCTCACATCCACACTCTACTGCCGTTTTGCTCTTTGTACTAACTCAAGAATCTTGGATAAGATTGTAACATTATAGGAATGCTGAAAAATAAGGAAGATACAGGCAGCTAACCACCATCTCAAAAGAATAGCTGTAACAAGTATTCGTCACTGCTTGAGTATTGCCTTCAAGCTTCCCTCTGAAGATTAATAAGTATGATTTAGTAATATAAGCCCACAAAGAGAAATAATCAAACAAGAAAGGAATATTTAAGGTTTTGAAGGCTACAAAACAGAAGTCAAGTGAATTATTTGTGCCTATGATAGGTAAGAGGTTCCCAAGCAGGATGTTTTAAAAAACCTGGGATGAATGACTGAGAAACTGCCTGAGACATTTCAGAACAAATTTGTGAATAAACACTAAGTGACTAGGAGCCAATGGCACTCACCAAGAGTCCTAAGACACCCAGAAATAAAAGTGCTTTACCACCAACCACAGAGCATGAAGTAGAAGAGTAGTCATACCTCAAAAGTCCACGTTTCTGAAGGAATTAGCAACTAAGCATAGAGCATGATTCAGAAATAACATGAGTAATTTTGTTTTCAGGAAGTATTCAGACAGGTCCTTCAGTTGTGCTATAGCTACCATGAAATAGAAGGGACTTCTAATACTCTCCTAAGCCGTTAATACAGAACGAATAGAAACAAATGGCTAGTTTTCATAAGTGAAAACATCTCAAAGATCCATGCTTCAGCATTAATCGGTTTGAAAAAAAGCAAAACAGTCAAAGCTAGCACTCACTGCAGAGACTGCAAAAGGTCTAGATTCTGATGAGATCCCAGTGGACAACACAGCACAGGGAACTTCATGCCTTTTACTGCATGACTAATGAGTACGAGAAGGTAAACACAAACCCTAATTCTAAGACAGCTTCTACTCCCTTTAGATGGGTCTGGGGGTGTAGACAGCTCACTGAAAACATCAGCCTAAGCTAGCAAATGTAAACGAGCTTACAATTTAAGGAGAACAGAAGACAATATTTAGAAATCTATGCTGAATACCATGAATTAGTTATCAGAAGCAAAGCAAGAGTTAGAAAACCAGTACAGGGCAACATAGTTCACTCATGAAACCATTTCACATGAAGACTGAACAGGCTAAAACTTGAACCTCAAGCATGACCAGGTAAAATAACTGAAAAGGCTGTAGGAGAGCAATAGTCCTTGCAAAGAGAGCTTGAAAGGTGGCAGATAGGTTCCATATGAAGAGAATGTATTTCATATACACTTCAAATTTAGTGTTAGCTTTCATTACAAAAGTTCAGAGAACATAACACTTAGGTAAGCTCCAATAAAAATTAGACACTGATTGAGAAGGCCACCGTCCCTGGCCAGCTATGACCGTAATAGATGAACACTTAATACTGACTCTGTTCAGCATGTATTTAAACAAAGATAATGATAAGGAATAGGCTTCCGGAAACATGGGGTTTTATCAGCAGGTATTTAAACAAAGATAATGATAAGGAATAGGCTTCCGGAAACATGGGGTTTTACTCTGACCAAAAACATTTAAGAGTATTTGTCCCTATCCACACCAATTCACTGTCTTGCAGTGTATGCAGTGGGGTGCACCTGACGTTATTTCTATATTCTATAGAAATTTTGGCTAGCAATAGAATGCACATAGATTACTAGTTCAATCTTCATGTCAAAGTCTGACTTTTTGACCTATAACTGAGAAGTAACTTTTGAGTATTTACTTAGACATAAGCAACTGGAAAGGGCATACAAGCTTTTCCCATATCAGTACTCTGAATCTTGACACTAATTGTTCTTGATATGGAATACCACACTCACGAACCTGTCTAAATTGGCAGGCAATGGTACTCTTGAAAAGAGCGAGCAATACTGCATCTTTAACAAGTTTATTCAGCCAATCTATTGACTGGTTGGGAAGCATAAATAGCACATACAGCTAATGAAATAATTCAAAAGGCACCCAGTTCTTCCTAGAGCGAAGTGCTTGTGTTCTAAAAACTTATTAAAAATACGAAAACCAGTCAGAATAAAACAAGATGAAGATTAAGTCATTACAGCAATGTGTTGAGCAATGCCTTTCACCTTGTGATCCAGAGGACCATTTTCAATGTATTTGTAACTTAAAGTTTGCACATGGCAACAGAATATTTCTGCATGGCAATAAAAGTATTCATGTCAGTGTCCATGAAACAGACTTCCAACAGGAAGTGCTCAGATAAGAACTTTCCAGAACCCACACATACACAAGACTGCTAGTAGCATTTTCATGTTTTATTTCAGTTAACACACAGCCATAGAAATAGATTACAGAAGGTTTTATCATGAAACCTCAGTTCAACCAAATGGCTAGATGCATATTTAAACACAATTGTTGAAGTTGTGTAGTTTTAGCCATTACTTGTCTCAATCTCATTTTCAAGATAAGATATTGCAGAGCACAGTGGAAGTTATCCAAGATGAAGTCAGTAATCAGCCACGCATCACATCATGAGCAGACGTTTAATACCAAGCTCCAATTCCTTGCACATGCTGGTTTTCTTCCCTGTAAAAGAAGTTTTAACTTTGAATCAGCATCTCCGACATAAAAGTGAGGTTACTGGTCAAAGACCAAACTATATGATCACAATACATGAGAGTAACTCTTAAGTCATCAGAACCATTCCTCAATATGAATTAGTCAATTTGTACAGGACAGAATTTCCCTTTCCCATACCTTTTAGTGAAGGGCTGCGTTCCAGAGAGCCACCCAGATTTGAATCAATTGAATCACTAACTACTGTGCACTATCACTAACTATCTAAAATTAAGCATTCCTCATACTTTCACCAATTTAGATTTGCTAAATCTATACAGTCAGCTTTAAAAGTTCTCCAAAAATTTCCACGCAGGTTTCCAGAAGTTCAAAACTAACTTAAAATACAACCCTAGTTCAATTCAGAAACATACTCTAGTTTTCAGGTAAGGACCAATTTAAATTTCTTCAGCTATAGCAGACATCTACTGAAGTCTGATAATTATTTTTGTACTGCATACCTGGAGACTGATCAATTTACAAGGAACTCTTTCCTCTAGACGTTTATGCCATATCACAAACACTTCAAACACCCATGAGGTGTATTCTAGGCAGCTGATAAGCACCAATACACTTCAGCTCTGAAAAAATTAAATTAATATAAAAAAATGAAGAGTTAGATTACAAGATAAGCCAATAACAATTCAAAATCTACATGTAAACTACTCTGAATGCAGTAGAGTTGATTCAGAAACTTCCTGAAGTTCAGCAGTTTTATGAATGTGTTCCTCTCGACAGGATCCAAAGTAGAGTTTCAACCTCACCTCTGGGTTTAAGAGAGAACTTTTATACCCCTCTGTACTGGCCACTTAAGACACTGTCAGACTTAAGAGGGCAAAGCAAAAAAGGGGAGCAGACTATAACATCAATTTTATCTTAAATAAAATGATCTGTATTCAGCCTTTATTGGAAATGGAAGGAATATTATGATTTACCAAAAATTTGTAAGTTATCATTATCAAAAAAGCAAGATCCAAAATAGTCCAGAATTTTCATTCCACTGGAGTCCACATACCTTCTAGCAGAAGATGTTTGTCCTTCCTAGGAAGTTCTGAGCATTGCTTCCAATTTAGGTGTGATCATCCACCTGTCCAACATTTTAAATATTACATTGCTGTGACTCCTAAACAGCATAAAAAAGACAAAAGCATTGTAAGACATGCTGAATTCCAGATCTTTCTAACCATATTGTTGAAAGTTTCAGAAATCACTTACGCAAAATTCGTTATCAAGCCAAGATCTAGAGCAAAAGCTAGCAAATGCTTCAGTTTCTTGAAAAGATGCTGTTCCAATCAGCAATTTTAAACTTGATAGAAAGCATTGTTTTTAGATGTGCTGGTAACCAAATGAAAAGTCTATTAATAAGCCTAAGCTGGTTGTGGTGTTGATATTACTCTGAAGGAAACTAAATTTCTAGATTTAACAGACTGATCTTCACAGTCTAATTCCTTGCTACCTTCTGCCTACTTACGTATACACTGTAACAAAGTACAAAAGGAGCCCAACCAAGAGGAAACATCAAAAGCCACCACTAAGGACATCCCAGGAGACTGGGAGGAAAGCCTACACAGATCAGCGAAAAACTCTGGAGTCGAGTCTGTTTGAACTTAAGGTTCACACGGGCTATCAGAATAGGTTATTAGAAGACAACTTGCAAATGATACTGTAGCTTTATTGACCAGTCTATAGCAAATATAACCGTATAGCATACTTATAATGCATAAAAGAACCATAAAAAAAGGGCAGAAGTACAGCAACAATTCTTTATTGTGCTCGAGGAACACGTTCAGACTCCATCAGCCTCCAGCTTACTGTCAGCGTTGACTGTAGCAGCAGTGCAAGGAGGGAGACGACAGATCTCTAAGCGACAGGCTCCAAAGCCTGCCCCGCCGGCGGCCGGCGTGCCGAACCCGCTTGTCGCCCTT